TAAGAATGTAAAATAAATTGTACTACGTATGTCCTGTTTAGGTTGGAAGTCACTCTGCCTCTAGCACAGCAGTAACCCACTCATCACTAACATTTTTAGAACTGTAGCAGTAGCCTTGGGCCACCTTAACTCTGCACCCGATTGCATGCTTATTAGCAGGTCTGATATTAAGAGTTACATAAAGGTAGTCAAACATCAGAGGGTGGCTGGAAGCAAAGGCATGATTCCACTGAGGGGCACTAATGCCCACCAAGGGGCACATTGTTGGTAAATAATTTAAACACAAACATAACTTCACTAGAAAAAGTTTGATTTCTATTATTATCATGCACTGTCAATTGTAACAGATATCAGTTATAAAAGCAGGGTCAGCATGGGAGCCTCTCCTCTCAGGTAAGTAACCACTGATCACCACTGTAAGGAAGAAAGGGGACTTCTCCTCTGCAGCCCAATGTAAGAGGGACCTTTTTTGCTACAACCCAATGGAATGGTGTCCTTTTTCCCTTCATACTCAAAGTAAACAGTCCTTTTCCACTTTAACCAATGTAAGATGACCCTGGTCCACTACACTAACCGAGTGAAGAAATCTACTCACATCTTCCCATGACACACTTCGGCCATTAGATGGAAAACAGCTAGACCAGGAGATTGTCATCTAATATCTATGGGCATCTTTAGAGTACTATCAACATGGAGAAGGCAGCACAGTGATCAGGGAGGATTGGGGACTTTAAAGACAAATACTGAGAAACATTTTTTTACTTAAAAGATTAGCGTATGTTTAGGGTATAAAGTAATCTGTGTCAAAGATCAGTCTTCATGTGTATTAGTTAGCAGAGGAGGGCCACTGAAGATAAAATATGGAGCTTAGCACTTGAAAGCATACTCAAGAGGATCTGTTACCAAGAGTGCTTGGGCATGCTGTCACTGATTAGATGTCCCCTTAGAGTTTACTAGTTGTTGAGATTAATATAACAATGCAATGTATATTTTCAGTGCTCAGCGCTCTTAGTTCTATAAAATTTCACAAAACACTATGAAAAATATCATGGGTTTATAGAACGATTTCTCTCCATTGCTTCAGTTATTTTTCAGCATTGTGGCATAGTTTATACATAGCAATTATGGATAACTGCTTTGCATCCAATGAACATTGAAGCTAATAGCACTTACAAATGATCTTCTGGTTTTGATAGTTTCTCATCATTAGTCAGCAAGTGACGTTCATTGTTTCTATCAGTTCTAGGTCACCCACACACCGATTAACTAATGGAAAAAATAAAAACTGACGGTGCTATCACCCAAAAATGAATAAATAACTAACATAAATAAATGAACGGTAATTCATCAAAAACTGTATACAGTGTCAATTTATCTAATTAAAAAAAAATCACCACTATTACAGAAATACATATAATATAACATACAAAGTTTCTGGTGAAAAAAATGAACAGATTAAAGTGTCCAGTGCATAAAAGCAATCATCCAAAGTGCAGAATCAATAGATAGATTAAATGAAATCAGAAAGTGTCCCGTACACAAGTGTCCCTTGCATAAAAATGTAAACTGTTGCTTACATCTTGTGGTCAATCGATCGCTATTATGCACACCTGCACAAAGTGATCACAACCACAATGCAGTCTAACAAATCACCAGAGGTATACTATAATCAACATGTAACATCAGCTCTCAAAAAAATGCTCAATCTTCCCAGATAGAGGAGCGCCAGCTATACTCCGACTTCAGCCTCCAAAGCAGCTCTCACTCTTTCTAAAGATACATAGCAGTGTGTATTCAAAACACCCAGGGCTTCTTTTCAGAGGGAACGCAGTTCCAGCACCTCCAGCATAAAATGTATGGAAGGAGTAGTGGGGCATGCTGGAGAGTCTATTGTTGCTAGAGAGTCTGTTGTCACTGGGGCAGAAATCTACTGCTCAAGGGGGTCTATTGTTGCTAGTGGGGAATATACTGTTGCTGAGGGGGGCCTTATGTTGCTGAGAGGAATGTCCTTTAGAGGAAGTCTATTGTTGCTAGCTGCTGGAGGGTCTACTGATGCTCGCTGCTGGGAGATCTACTGTTACTTGCAGGGGTCTTTTGTTACTGGGTGAGGGAGGATATTTTGTTGCGGGGGGGGGGGGGGGGTCTAGTGTTGTTGGTTACAGGGGATCTGTTTTACTACTTTTCTTGTTAGCATTGACAAATTACATACAAATTACTTAGCACCACAAAATGAATGGTCCTGTATTCTCTAAAAGGGGCAGTCCTGAGAGTGGGTGAGGGTGGAACCAAGGGACGATGCTTAGAGGAGGGTAGTGAATGAGGACAAGGGGTGACTCAGAAAGGGGGAGTTACCTGCACCTATTCTCTGAGAAAAAGAAGCCCTGCAAACAAACAACGTACAAACTTAAAGAAGAACTTTAATATAGTCAGAGCACTTCGCAACCAGCAACTGTAGGCTTTTTTGTCACCCACTCGCAGCATTTTATTGAAATAATTGTGAACTGGTTCTCTACAAATTTTGATATATACAGTGGGGCAAAAAAGTATTTAGTCAGCCACCAATTGTGCAAGTTCTCCCACTTAAAAAGATGAGAGAGGTCTGTAATTGGCATCATAGGTAGACCTCAACTATGAGAGACAAAATGAGAAGAAAAATCCAGACAATCACATTGGCTGATTTGGAAATAATTTATTTGCAAATTATGGTGGAAAATAAGTATTTGGTCAAAATCAAAAGTTCATCCCAATACTTTGTTATATATCCTTTGTTGGCAATGACAGAGGTCAAACGTTTCCTGTAAGTCTTCACAAGGTTGGCACACACTGTTGCTGGTATGTTGGCCCATTCCTCCATGCAGATCTCCTCTAGAGCAGTGATGTTTTGGGGCTGTCGCTGGGCAACACAGACTTTCAACTCCCTCCAAAGGTTTTCTATGGGGTTGAGATCTGGAGACTGGCTAGGCCACTCCAGGACCTTGAAATGCTTCTTACGAAGCCACTCCTTCGTTGCCCGGGCAGTATGTTTGGGATCATTGTCATGTTGGAAGACCCAGCCACGTTTCATCTTCAATACCCTTGCTGATGGAAGGAGGTTTGCAATCAAAATCTCACGATACATGGCCCCATTCATTCTGTCCTGTACATGGATCAGTCGTCCTGGTCCCTTTGCGGAGAAACAGCCCCAAAGCATGATGTTGCCACCCCCATGCTTCACAGTAGGTATGGTGTTCTTTGGATGCAACTCAGCATTCTCTCTCCTCCAAACACGACGAGTTGTGTTTCTACCAAACAGTTCTATTTTGGTTTCATCTGACCATATGACATTCTCCCAATCCTTTTCTGGATCATCCAAATGCTCTCTAGCAAACTTCAGATGGGCCCGGACATGTACTGGCTTAAGCAGGGGGACACGTCTGGCACTGCAGGATCTGAGTCCCTGGCGGCGTAGTGTGTTACTGATGGTAGCCTTTGTTACGTTGGTCCCAGCTCTCTGCAGGTCATTCACTAGGTCCCCCCATGTGGTCCTGGGATTTTTGCTCACCGTTCTTGTGATTATTTTGGCCCCACGGGGTGAGATCTTGCGTGGAGCCCCAGATCGAGGGAGATTATCAGTGGTCTTGTATGTCTTCCATTTTCTAATTATTGCTCCCACAGTTGATTTGTTCACACCAAGCCGCTTGCCTATTGCAGATTCAGTCTTTCCAGCTTGGTGCAGGTCTACAATTTGGTTTCTGGTGTCCTTCGACAGCTCTTTGGTCTTCACCATAGTGGAGTTTGGAGTGTGACTGTTTGAGGTTGTGGACAGGTGTCTTTTATACTGATAACAAGTTCAAACAGGTGCCATTGATACAGGTAATGAGTGCAGGACAGAGGAGCCTCTTAAAGAAGAAGGCACAGGTCTGTGAGAGCCAGAAATCTTGCTTGTTTGTAGGTGACCAAATACTTATTTTCCACCATAATTTGCAAATAAATTATTTCCAAATCAGCCAATGTGATTGTCTGGATTTTTTTTTTCTCATTTTGTCTCTCATAGTTGAGGTCTACCTATGATGCCAATTACAGGCCTCTCTCATCTTTTTAAGTGGGAGAACTTGCACAATTGGTGGCTGACTAAATACTTTTTTGCCCCACTGTACCTATGCCTGAAAGTTAAGAGTTAAAATGTTTACAATATTTGTTTGGCCATTCTTCAGCATAGTAATTTTTTCTATCAACAGAAGACCCTTTTCTATTATTGTCCTAATAAATGCCTGTGTATAATTAGATTTCCAACTTGTTTACTAGCCTTTAAATAAAAGGGCCTCTTTGTTGTATTTATACACAAATGGGTTGTTCGCAATTACATCATTGCCATTTTTAGTTTAGGAGACACAGGGCTTACTCTTAATATTCTCAGGAGAATTCAGAACAAATATAGAATGCTACTGGAATTCCACCCATCTCCCCCACAGCGTTGTGGCAGCCATGACATGAAATGAAACTGAAATCCTCACCCCAAATCGGCAGTGACAGCTCATTTATTGCACGGGGCCTTTGATTCAAGTCGCTTTCCAGCATCTTTTAGTCATCAGGCTGTCAGTGGATAAAACTGGTGCAAGACCAACAAACAGCTGTTATACTGTTATACTTGCATAGCTGAGCTCTTTAGTCACTCCCAATGAAATGGTCATCTCGCATTTCATACTGACTGGGGTATGCAATGTGGTTAGTGTATGGGATTTTTTTTTCATCATAAGGCCCATTGCTACTCCTGCCCCCCCCCTCCTGGAGTCTCACATGACACAAGATCTGGCTAGTTAGCATGTCTGGAATGAGAAAGCACCTATCTCTGTGTCTGAGCTAGGTCCATAGATGCTGGTTCCCAGGTTGGAACATTACCTCATTCAACCTTGCCAAAGACATAGTATATAAAGCACAACGGGGCAGGGCTTGGAGTAGAACTAACTTGTCCTAATTAAGGTTAACATCAGAAAAGGACATTGCAAGAGACCACAGGCAAAATGCTTCTGAAAGTAGAAGACCTGGTATGTTAATTGTTCTATTTTTCTATTAAACTGAAAATCATTGTATTTTAAGTAATTATGTTGTGAACTGTTTCCCTGCACTAGTTTTATTTTTGTTCTTGTTTTTTGTCTAAAATTAAGACTAATACTAGCTTAACACCTTTGCTAAGTTTTCATTCATGTACTTTTTACGTTTTTTCCATAAAAGAGAAAACATTGTATTCAAATACACGCAGGTTCAGAATATAGGATCAAGAATATAATAGTGTGTGTGTATACACACATACACGTTTTATAGTGTTCTAGTTGTGATGATATACTACCTACTATCTCTCAACATGAAAGCAAACCCAGGAAGTTCCTCAACCCATGATCCTCTTCCAAGAGGACCATGAAATATATCTTAGATGGAATTTATAAGCTGTTATTAGCCACTCACATACTTATCTACATTTCAAAAATCAATAACCTTTGCATGATTGCCAACAATTGTTACCTGGATATTGGTCAATGTTACTACCAATGCTAAATGATGTACAAGATCTCTAGCTTCCACAATATCTTTCCTTCCTTTGGAGAGAGTTTAATGGTCTTAAATAACTGTACAGAGCAATACAATTAGAAAGACAATGTGAATGGACTCTATTCAAATCAACAAGATTCAAATATACTCTAGGTAGGAGAGGAATATCCATTTGCATAAAATGCCAAAAGAAAGAGTAAAGAGCAAAACTTCTCTCAATGGGCATGAGTTATTACCCTGTGTGTTGGTCCTTCACCCAAAACAGATTATTGCTGTTTCCTTAGCAAATTATATTTCTCAGAAATTTGCTTAGCTTTTGACATGCCAAAACTAGAGAAACTGGCTGAATGCAGTTTATTTTCCTTTCTCCCCCAAATTTTAATTTGGTGTAAATGGATCATAATTTTTGTGTATATCATCTGGGGGAATTTACATCTGTTTTTACTGTATATTGATTTTTCAGTTGGCCAACAGTTAGATCGATCAATATATAGTGTTTTTTAAATTATTTTTATAGATACAGAAAACTGCCATATGTATGGGGGTGAGGATTTTTATGTTTCTTCATATGAATCAACAGGTGACTGGAAAAAAGAAAGAAAAAGACACTGGAGATTTTGTAGCAAGAAATTTTAAGCATGGAGAATATGAAACAGCCGTAACACTAGAGAAACAGGATGATTTAAAGACAACTTCAAAGTCATTGCTTGACCGCGAGGAGGAGAGGCAAGCAGAGCAGAAAAGGCTCAAGGCAGAGGTATTGATAACAATCATACTACCAGTAAAGTGTATCTGTATTGTCAACGTTTGGCATTTGTATGTGTGTAGAAGGCTACTTGCTTTTCAAAAAATTGTGGTAATTGCTAATTTGTCCAATATCATTGAATAAGCACAGGTTTACTAGCCATTTTAGTGTTATGAATATGGGTAAATGCTAAAAATGTGATCTTGTGTACTCCTCCAACCAATCTGTCTAGAGGCACTCATGTGTCTAGTAATAATCATTTATTAGCCAAGCTGTCTAGCCATAAGCAATCATAACCAATATGTCCAATAGTAAGAACTCATAAAGCAAGGACTATGGGATTAGCCACAAATATTCATAGAACAAGCCAAATACATATGCATACATAAGCATATTAACAGAGCCTCTTGGTGACAATTAAATCCACAGTGAGTGACCTGGAACACATAAATCACAAGTCAAAATCACATACTAGGATATAAGCTCCAGTTACAATCGCCAAACTACAACTGTAGAACATAAGAACCCCAATGACACCAGGTTTTTTGTTGAGTTTGAATGCCACAATGTCACATTGAATACCCACAGTAACAAAATATTGCATCCAATAGCAAAAAAGGAACAGGGCACGCTGCACTAATAAACAAATCAGCCGAGAATATCCCCACTAATCCTTTAAGATGCAGTTGTTGAAATTTTATCAAAACTAAATGGGTATAAACTTTAGGTATATAAGCAGTCTCTCGGTGAAATAACAAGAAAGAATTTACTGCATATATATGTTAGATTACTGTTAACAAAGATAATTATTTTAAATGCAAAGCAAACAAGCAGACAGAATCTATTAATTTCAGAAACCAAAGATGAAGCTATTTAGAATTACACATTTCAGAACTTTAGGCAAATTTGATGAACAATCAGTTACTGTGGCAGATTGTTCTTTGCCCTATTAAATAAATATGCTGAATGCTAAAATACAGTATCTCTAAATCCAAAATATTTTCTTATTGATTTTGGTTAAGGAATGTTAAAGTCCCTGTTGGGTTTTCTTTTTACCATCTGTCCCATTTGAGAGATCTCTCGTCGCTTATTCTGTGGACACAACAGGAACTGAGATGAAATCTCCTGAAAGACAAGTAAATACTCCCACTTGGACAGTTGTCAGGGGAACATATAGGAATAATTCTTTTTCTTATTTACAATTTCAAATTTTGGATTTTCCCTCACTTCCAGCCCTGGTAATAGTGGTCACTAGGATGAGGAATGAGAAAGACAATCTCCACAGCAGTGACAGAGATAACAAAAAGGTTCTCACCCTTGCCTACTTTATTAAAAAAAAAAGTTTTGGCTGTAAATCTATTTTAATTCCTGTCTTACTAATTGCTTTGAAGGCAGCATACGCTATGCTTAGTAAAATCATTTTACAATAAATGCTCTGGTGAAATTTTGTTGCCGATCATGTAAAACGTGTTTTTTATTTAGCTCCTCAAAAAGAAAATTGATGAAAGACCAAAACTAGACAACTTGGAAGATCTGCAAACTATAATAAAACTAAGAAAACAAAAAAGATGCAAAAAAGTGAAAGTACCTGTGGTTAAGGAACCAGAACCAGAGCCAGTGGTAAGTTTAAAATAAATAGATGAATTAATGAATCGTGGGGAAAAAAAGGAATGCTCACAAAAAGCACAATCTATCATTTGTAGATTGAACATGTGGACGAAACAACATTTTTAAAAGCTGCACTAGAAAACAAGATGCCTATCATTGAAAAATTCCTGGCAAATGGTGGGGATCCAAATGCCTGTGATGAGGTAAGATAATTTTTGTATATTTTTAGGTTACCTATAGCATATGCTAATATGAAAAATATTTAAAGCAGGAGCTGGCAAAGCTGAGGAATCCATCTGGCACTTAGCTAAAATTCCCATCATGCTTGGCATGTAAACAAGAAGCTGAGCATCCATGGTGGATGTTGCAGTTCTGCAACAGCTGAAGTACAGGAGGTAGCTTAACTATTATAGAATACATCTCATCAGCTTCTCACACACTACAAACTTCTTTCTTAAGCTTATCTACATTAATAAATAATCACCGTTCTAATAGAAATTAATTCCATCATTTAGAAATATGACTGCAGCCTATAATATTCCAGAAAGGCCATGATCATAGCAAATATATTATGGGATTACAATATTAACGAGCTTAAATACTGTAAACAGATTAGTCTAATTTGTGAACCTTTTGTGCTCTGGTGTTCTTTCTCTTTGGAGGCAATGTCTCTGTATTAGTATATAAGTTGCCAATGGTGACTTCTTCTGAAAATACTAACTGCCTGTCTGTCTTGTTTATCCCATGGTGTCAATACTAAGTCACTAACTCAGGAGAATGCCAATGAGGATTTTTTTCCTCCATACTTTTTCTGAGCCGGTAAATCAACTCAGATTTTTAGTAGGTCACCAGTAGTAATCTACATATTTCTTTCAGTATAAATATTTTTTAAAAATGTAATCCATAACAAAGCACATTTAAGCTCAGAGGTGCCTATATATACGTGAATCTATTAACTGAGCACTGACCTTATTTATCGTTGTACACATGCCCATGATCTAGGACAGGGATTCTCAACCAGGGTACCTCCAGAGGTTACTTGAGCAATGAGCAATGTGATAAGTTCCTACTGACTCCATTAAACTTTTTAGTTACTGTAAGGAGGTAATTCTTCCCAATGTCCACATGCGTAAGGACTATTCTTCTCACTGATCATCACACCAATTTATCTTGAGTTGTAGATATAGTAATTTTAAGCAGAGGTTCCCCTAGACCAGAAAGTGATTTCAAGGATGTGTTGAAAAGGTTGAGAAAGGCTGATCTATGATCTCTGTTTCAATAAAATGTATTTATGTACATAGCTAATAACCATAATTCATAGAATGTCCTTCCTAAACCCCACAGCAATCTTGTACAAGAAAATTCTATCAGTGCAACCTCATATAAAGTAAAGATGAGGGAAAAGCACCTTCAACACACATGAAATCTCTGACCCGATTTCTGTATGTTTCTGAAGAATGATGTAATAATAATGGTTACACATTGGGGTCAATAGTGACATACTATCAAGGGGCTCAACTACAGCATATATGCAGGCTACAGTAAACACTTCTTAATTATCAATATAATAATCAGTACAAGCAGTGATATGACTACATGAGTTTAAACATGACACAAATTAGTGAATAGAAAATGGTCTGATGAGCAATAAAATCATCCTTTTAAAATGCATAAGTAGAAGCATTGGGCAATTTCAAGGCAGCATTTTGCTACTACTGTATCTGAAAGTATGCTGCTTACCAATGTCACCAGCTCACATTACTTACCTCCCAGGGAGGAGAAGTGGCTTTACTAAATGACATAATAGATAACTTACTAATTATTTCTTTCTTTCTATAATGTCTTTTTACTATAGATCTGTAGATGTTCAATAGTTAGGGCACGCTTGTGTCAAGTTCTCCAACCTGCTTAAAATGGTCCTATAGGCTGAATCTCGCACTACAATCACTGCACCTGATTCCCCAGACCTACTAACTTTCCATGGCCACTACAATTAGGTCTTTTTTGAAAGTTTTACTACAGTGAGAAGAGCGAGACACTGACAGGCAGGAACAAATCCTAACTTTTGTGTGAGAGATCATCAGATAGAAGAAATGTCCTGAGTAATACTGTAAACAGACAATAATTAACAGTTACTTGTTTATTAACAAGGTAAAATACTGGTAGCCATCCTCCAATTATGATTAATATTCTTATTGGAAACATACAACTGATGAAAAGAAGACAAGATGGTTATACAAAAGAGATGAAATGTTATATTTGCATAAATATGTCTGGGAAGCTCCTTCCCTGAAAAATGGCAAGCAAGAAGTGGTGCTAATGATAAACATGCCATTCTCAGAAAAAAAGAGCTTGGTACAGGATTCAAAAGACTTGCAGACTAGCTGGAATTTTTATGGCCCTTAACAACATAATTCCATAAAATTGACAAGGTTTATTCCATTCACATTAAAACAAATCGCAAAACTTGTATCTCATAAAATGCATCATTGGTTGACATCTTAAAATTTATCATGCTCAATAGGCCAAAAAATGCCACACTGTAGTATTGTAAAGCCCCAACGTGTTTCAATTAATCCAGAATCTTCATCAGGGGGACAAAAGCATGGCCTAAAAGCTAAATACAAACAGTGTCATAACACATATCAGCTGAAATTATAGCAGTCATAACACATTGATTGAAACTATTGTAACAATATTAATATATCCAAATGTACATGTACAGAACAGGATATTATCAACCATAGAATGAGTGTGCAGTCAACCAATAGCCCACACAGCATGCAGCTAGGAAGGTACAAGGGGCATATATGTGTTCCCAAGAGAGCCAATCTGTATCAAAACAATAAATGGATAAATATGCATATATATTTTTATTAATGTGTGACCAAAAAACTTCATTCACAAAAAGAAGAAAAATAACATAATTAAAAAAATAGTCATATGTTGGATACATCAAAAAGAGGTATGCGTCAGAAAAATAAAAAAAAGAGACGGACTGAAGACCAAGGAACTGTATAAAGGTACAGGATTCCTGGGCCCTCGGCATTGATGCCTTTGTTCCTAACATTTTGTGCCCGTCTTAGAAAATGACACTATAATCAAGCCCTGCAACATCCTCCTTAGCAGACTGTCTGCCCATCATTTAAAAGCATAGTTTACTCTACTTGCTTTATAAACTTGGTTGTCTTTCCCAACAGTACAGACGCACAGCCCTGCACAGAGCATGCTCGGAAGGACACTTTGCCATTGTTGAGAAGCTAATTGAAGCTGGAGCAGATCTAGAATTCCATGACATGGTATGTGATTTTTTCCAATAAATAAGTCATTAAAAATGAAAATGGCCACAATAGAGAAGATAGCAAGGTTGCTGGAAAATATTGCTAGATTACAAAAACTATAATTTTGTTGACAAAAGGCTGCCAAAATTTTGCAAGGCACTTAAGCCATAAGGGAAAATAACAAACTCATGCTGATCTACCTTTGCAACCTCCTGCTAAGTGCAATAAATGCAGTTTCCCTGGGCCAGAATCTTCCATGTAGTTAATAAACTATTAATATAAAATAGCAGGAACCAAGTGACAAGCCTAAAAGATTAAAGGCCTCAATCAAAAATTAGAGTTTATCAAGCAAAATATCCTCTAAATAGGATAACATTTTTATAACTTGACAACAAAAACCATTTATGTACAATTTTGAATAATAGTAATTAAGTCATTTTTATTAAAAATGCAGTCTATACACAGTATACATAGAAATACTGTATGAATTAAGTATTTAAAGATCACTGCTCTTACTGCTATGTGAAATAGAAAAGGATACTGCTGCGCTGATGGAATATACTGTGTATACTAATACCCTATGTTGCAGAAGACTGGTGCCCCACATGGATGTATACTCACCATCCTGACATGACCACCTATCCCTAGGTAGATCACTAGCGCTTTGTTTGGGACTGACCCAAAATGCCACGTATTGATGGTACCAATGCTGTTACATATACTCTACGACGTTGCCAATGGTAGCCAGTATATATTCCCAGCATTAAACTAAACAATATTACACTATGGCAGGGTTTGAAAAAGCCGCTCACCAAATGCGTGGAGAAACTCTCTAGCGGTGAGCGGCAAGCACAGATGATGGAGCGGCTGCGCTCCAAGCCTCATTGTGAAGCCGAGTTCCGGTTTCCCACTTCCGGTTTCTTCGGCACCGGCGCTGAGGGGAGAGGTGCAGGAGAGGTCCGCTCTCCTCCATTGAGAGGAGACACCCTCTCCACTGCCGCAGGGGTCTCGAGGAGTAAGTGCTGTATACATGTCATATCACTATAATGGAGTACAGGGGAGCTGGGATATACATTACTGTATACAGTTTTATATTTTGGACTCTTTATTCTAAAGAAAAATGTAGTTTCATAAGCTTTAAGGGGGCGTAGTTGGGGGCAGGGCTGGGGGGCGGGGTTGGAGGCGGACCTGGGCAAGGTTGGGTGGGGAAACTGGTGGAGAGTAAGGTTTGTGCCTGGCTAGTAGGTCTAGACTCAACATTTTAAGCCCTGCACTATGGGATGTCCGTTTTTCATTTTATTTTTATGCTGACCTCCTGCATATTATCTGTGGAGGAGAGGAGTGCAAGTGCTGTACTCATTCCCAATAAGGATCACTGGTTAATACCTGATATCTGAACTGGTGAATATATACTGGCTACCACTGGCAACTTTGTGGAATATATGTAACAGCATTGGTACCATCAATACGTGGCATTTTGGGTCAGTCCCAAACAAAGTGCTAGTGACCTACCTATAGATAGGTGGTCAAGGCAGGATGGGGAGTGTACATCCATGTGGGGCACCAGTCTGAGCACTATGAAGCACTTGTCACTGTAATTACGGAATCCAATACCAAGGAATCAGCACTTACTGCTATGTGGACTTGAAGACAGCTACAAGGGCTCGTGGCTGAGCCTAGAAGTCAGTACAGTACCTTGAACTAAGACCACCACACAGAGGGGCCTTTTAGAGAAATAACTGGATAAAAGAAACTGTTGCTCTGCTTTTTCCATTAACTGAGGAAATACGGGGGCTAAGTCTGTTCTTGCCACCATTTCCTTTCCTAAATTTTCTGCCAAAAAGATGGGAGGGGCAGTGAAGAGTTACAGTTTCTGCAGGTTATCTGCATTCCTTTGGAGAAATTTCCCTTTACTTTATGTCCTAATGGCAGCAAAGGATATCAGAAAAAATACCTCCAAAATGAGGGAACTGTGTTCTTGAAAATTCCGAATTTGGAATTTTGTCTCACTTTTAGTAACAGTAGTCACTAGGACAAATAGTTTCTGGTGGTTGCCATTGTTACAAGCTTCACAATCATTCCCAATTTACTTGCAGTGATGCTAAACCGGCACTTCATTGCCCGGGAATAAGCATGCAGTTTGCGAAAAAGTGATGGCCTTCATCAGAAAAAAATGTCTGATGAAGGCTTCCCTCCAAAGGCACCCTAAAAAGAAAATATATTTCCATGTAGTGAAAGTAGTTATAGAAACTCCTGACAAACAAAATGCTTTAATATATACAATTGGTTTATATTGCTCTACAGTCCACTGAGACATCCAGCTAAGGTCACAAATATTCTGGACCATTCAGAAATCTTCCAAGTGTTCTGTGGGCCTTTCCCATCTGAATTCAGTATTGGGACCCAAATGGTCAAGGGGATTCTTTTTTGCTCTGTTTACAGCTTGAATCCACAGCAATTCACTGGACCTGCCGCGGTGGAAGTGTTGAAGTTCTGAAATATATACTAAACAAAGGAGCAAACATCAACTCAAGAGACAAGGTAGATTATGCTTGTAAACACCGTTGCTGAAATGTACCTAAAACTCATAATGTAAAGTATTAGAATTAGAAGTCTTCCAAGTTAGTGAGGAAAAGATATTATATTTGTCAGTCTTTAATGAGATACTAGGACAGCAAAATTATTTTTTAGCTACATTTTATATTTAAAAATAATCCAGCAACATAATATTCATAACTGGCACTGTACTACACATACAGTCAGCCTGTATTTCTTTTGAGGTTGCCTGTGGATTTTTCTTTGAGTCCCAGACAATTCTTTTGTCAGTTATGGCTGCAATCTTTCTTGGTCTACCTGACCTTGGCTTGGTATCAAGAGATCCTGAACTTTCCAATTCTTAATAGGTTAATTAACAGAACCGATTGGCATATTCAAGGCTTTGGACATCTTTTTATGTCCTTTTCCATCTTTATAAAGTTTCATTACCTTGTTAAGCAGGACTTTTGACAGTTCTTTTCTGATCCCCATGGCTCAGTATCTAGCCTAGTCAATGCTTCCACATAAGAGCTAACACTCATTGACTATTTATACACTGACACTAATAGCAATTTAAAAAGCCACAGATGTGGGACATTAACCTCTAATTGGCATTTTAACCCGTGTGTGTCACCTTGTGTGTCTGTACCAAGGCCAAACATTCCAGGGTATGTAAACTTTTGATCATGGTCATTTGGGTGATTTCTGTTATTATGATTTAAAAAGGAGCCAAACAACTATTTGATAATAAATGGCTTCATATGATCATCATCCTTCAATAAAAGAGCATTTTTTGGCATGGTCAGTCATATTTTCAATATCAATGCCAAAATTTCACAATTTCTGCCAGGGTATGTAAACTTTTGCGCACAACTGTATATGAAGTGCAGGAAAGTCCGGCACTCAGGATGAAATCCAACTGTATATATTGTTTATTGAAGCATGTACAAGCCTAAAAATGCCAATGTGTTTCGGACACATCAGTCCTTAGTCATGGCTAGTGTAAAGTAAGGTAAAACTCACTTATATAGTATTACAAATAAGTCACATAATTACACGAGGCATTAACCTCCCTAGCGGTATTCCCGAGTGTAGCTCGGGGTAAAATGTGAGTACCAAAAGCGGTAACCCCAAGCTACACTCGGGCTTACCATGCGGCGCTGCATAGGGAGTCCCTGCAGAGCTTACCTTGTCCTTCGCTCCCGCGATGTGTCCCCTGCAGCGTCCCCGGCCATCTCCTCCGGTCGATGCTGGCATCCAGCTTCTGTGTTCCGGTCCCTGTGACGTCGGGACGTACGGGCGCCGCCGGCGGTGGGAAATTTGAAAATTTAAAAAAAATGTCATTTTTTTTCCAAACAAATTTTACATAGTAAAACATTGCTGTTTCAACCCATTTCACATACATTTTGTCCCTAGTGCTTTGTCCTGTGCCCTGCCTGCATTTTGTTTCTGTTCTTTCTGCCTGGAAACTGAGAAAAGTCCATGGCATCCAAAAAGCATCCCTTTAGGTCAAAAGCGGTTTTAGATCAGCTAGAGAACAGCGATAGTAAATTAGAACCACTTGCAGAATTGAGTGATAATGATTCGTGGAGAAATTCGTCATCAGACACTGAAAACGATTTTGCGACTTTGCTCAGCGATGTGTGAACTTGGTGCTCTATTTAAAATTTCAGTGTTTTTGGTTTGATTATATTATTGAATTAAATGTATTATATTATTTTTTATGATTATTTATTAAATTATAATTTATGATTTCGTGTTTCAAATTTTATCATACCCGGGATGTTTAATAGACTGTTGTTCAGACAGATTTCAGTGAGTTATTCATAAAAATTACAGGCTACAATAAAAAAACTACATATTTCTATGCAAAATAATGGTACCGCTTTCAGCACCAAAAATCTGAAATAATCATACCGCTAGGGAGGTTAAAATTACTCTAAGGTAATTAAAAAAAACCCCAACATGGACCACTGCAGAAGATCATTAAACAGGCAAAAAAGGCAACAAAGACAATATATAAAAAAAAAAACCACAAATATATATAACAAAGAAAATAGTATATATTTTTATCATTAATATGGATGACATATCATAATAAACATTATACCATAACATTATTTCAGAAAAAGATCCACATCCCACCTGTGATTTAGTCTCTGTGGGAAGCAGGTCTGGAGTCTGAAAATCCCAAAAACTGAAACTACACTACCAAAACTGTACTACACATATACACCAATATCCTCCGCAAGTATTGGTAGGCCATTCCCCACAACAGTTAAATATTTGGTGGACCTTGAAGGAAAAGGATATATACAAATTGTAAACTGCAAACAAACAAAGATACAAAGAAATGTCATACCCAGACAAAGGCATTGTGATTAGTTCTAATACAAATCATGGGAGCTTTTTAATTTACAAAAATGGACATAGAAAGCAGTTATATCTAAACAGGGCAAGTTACAAGGGCTGTGCCTACAAAATATATGGCAAACCTCCCTTTAAAGTGAAGTGTTAAGAACCAAACAAGGTTTTTAGTTAAACAAGCTATACAAGTATAACATCCACCCCAATTTATAACTAGCTTTTTAAGTAAGGTGCACAAGGAATGGCATTGCACAGTACACACAGAAGATTTCCCAGCACACCGACAAGCTAACCTGCAGAAAAAAAAAAAATAGCTCTAAAAATGTATTTTAAAAACAGGTTTTATTTGTATACGTTTGCATTTATGTGACAGCAGCATTGCCTCACCAAGGCTCCTCTGTAAAGTGCGGTCCTATCTCTTAAAAGTGATTGTGAAACACTCACCTTATAAAACAACCTATTCAGTTTACAATAGAAATGAAGGGCCAAAACATTTCTATATAGATATAAAACAAAAAAAACAGGTTATAAATACCTTTTTTATCACATTCCCTCTGTTCTCAGCTGCATAAGAGATGGGGGAGTAGAAACAGCAGCACTTGTCCCAGTGAAAGACTGTGCAGGGGTGGGAGAGGGTGTCAGAAAAGGAGAGCAGGCTGAGTTCCCAGCACAGCTAGAAAACTGACCACAGTGTGTTCTCCTGCTTACTGTGGTCACTTTGTATTAGCAAAGCAGAGGGACTGGCAGGAACACTAGGGTTTTCAAAGAAAGGAAGCTATATAAAGAGAACAGGATACTTTTTCATACAGGTACATGGTACAGCAGGCCCATATCAGGAATATGAAATATTGGGTTTACATATTCTTCAAATTTGAGAGTCTCCAAGTTAGAGCATATAATCGGTGAATAAATAAAGGACAGGTATGCTTGGAGGGAGCCTATTCCTCCTTAAAGGCGCAGGGACACATTAAAAGCCCAGCAAGGGCTCTGAAAATTATAGCTATAGCTATTCATCTGGTAGCTCCATACAACTGTCAGATGGTAAACTAAAAAAGATAAATGCAAGAGGGTGGCATGTACTTTGCTGGACTTAACTCATAGTATGCCTGCACATTTATCAAAGTGACTTAATTCCTGGAGTTCAGCTTTAAAGTGGTAGTAAAGTCGTTTTTTTTTTTTCCACTTGTACCTACAGTTAAACCTATAAAAAGGCTTACCAATAGTTACTGTAAATATGTCCTAAATGAGCAGCATTTAGAAGATATTTACTTGGAAAGTAGCACTGATGCATGTCCTTTAGAGCTGTGCTGTAAAAAAGGACTCAGGCACACACATGAGTGATGTCATCACAGCTCAGCCATTCAAGCCAACAGAGCCCGTGAACCTGGAAGAAGGATCAGGTGAAGATGAAAGCCCTGTCAGCGGTGAAAGTTTCAAATAATGTGCTAGTATGCAGGGATTTTTTTTTTTTTTTTTTTTTAAAACAAGGTCGCGGTTTACTACCACTTTAAAACCCCCCCCCTAGCGGTATTCCCGAGTGTAGCTCGGGGTAAAATGTCTGTACCAAAAGCGGTAACCCCGAGCTACACTCGGGCTTACCATGCAGCGTTGCTCAGGGAGTCCCTGCAGCGCTTACCTTGTCCTTCGCTCCCACGATGTGTCCCCTGCAGCGTCCCCGGCCATCTCCTCCGGCTTCCGTGTTCCGGTCCCTGTGACGTCGGGACGTATGGGCGCGGGAACCGGCGGCAAATTTGAAATTTTTAAAAAATGTCATTTTTTAAAAAATTATTATTACATAGTAAAACATTGCTGTTTCAATGCATTTCACATACATTTTGTCCCTACTGCTTTGTCCTGTGCCCTGCCTGCATTTTGACTGTTCTGTCTGCCTGGAAACTTAGAAAAGTCCATGGCGTCCAAAAAGTATCCCTTTACGTCAAAAGCGGTTTTAGACCGGCTAAAGAACAGCGATAGTAAATCAGAACCACTTGCAGAATTGAGTAATGATTCGTGGGGAAATTCGTCATCAGACACTGAAAACAATTTTGCGACTTTGCTCAGCGATGTGCGAATTTGCCTCTGTATTTCAAATTTCAGTGTTTTTGGTTTGATTATATTATTGAATTAAATTTATTATTATATTATTATTTTTTATGATTATTTATTAAATTATAATTTAAGATTTCATGTTTCAAATTTTATCATACCCGGGATGTTTTCTAGACTCTTGTTCGTAAAGATTTCAGTGAGTTATTCCTAAAAATTACAGTCTACAATAAAAAACTACATATTTCCATGCAAAAAAATGGTACCGCTTTCAGCACAAAAAATTGGAAAGAATCATACCGCCGAGGAGGTTAAGTAGGACTATGGCTTCCCATTAAATAACTATAAGCGCATCTGCAGTTACAGTTTTCTTTTAATACCCAATCAAAATCTCAAAAAAAAAAAAAGAAACAACCTTTCACTGTTAAAACTTAACAGTGCTTCAAATTATTTTGAAGTTTCTAGAAGTTACTGAAACTACAGATCTATTATCTCATGAATACTGATAGAGAGTTTATCTAATATGATGATTGTTGGCGGCAAGCAGTGTGGACACATCCTTATTGCAGAAAACAAGTCTTATTTTAGAGATAACAGTCTGTACAATATGCTAATATAAATAGGGAATATGTTCTGACAGATTCAGTTAGTGTTACAGTTGAAATAGCAGATCTCTCAGAATGAAAGCTTATTACTTTACATATTTAGTTATTTATACATTTGCAAACTCATGAGCTACTGATATCCTCATGCAGCTATTTTTTACCCATCTGCACAGACCTATGTACCGTTTAGTGAATGATCTCCATCTCTGTTTCTCTAGCTATTCAGTACTCCTCTCCACGTAGCAGTCAGATGTGGAAAGTATGAGTGCGGAGAACATCTCATTGCATGTGAAGCTGACTTAAATGCCAAAGATCGGGTAAGAATGACTGTTGTATTCTTAATAAAAAAAATCTCAGACTAGGATGAGTAAAATAGAAAAAGACCCAAGAAGAACAACCTATCACAAAGTAGATTTTTTAAGTCAATAATTGGTGTCAGATTCCTGTAAATATCTATTCTAAATCTTTATGATCAAGCAAATTAAAGTTAAAATCCAGCTAAGCAGTTGCCTTACACATACAGTATAAGTACGCTAAATCACATGACAAAATATTTTTTCTGTTCAGCTACTTATATAATTCACACGCTCCTGCTATGCTACGTAACCAGGAATGTAATACTAATGTCTCGGTTATAGTGTGGGAATACAATGATGTTCCCTTTCAGCATTAGCCGAATTCAGTGGTGGGCAACCTTTTTTTTCAACTGAGCCAAATCTCACCAAAACCACAATTGAAATTTATTTTGAGGGCCACATTTTTAAAACTGAAAATACATCCCCCATATAGTAATTCATCCCCCATAGTAATTCATCCCCCATATAGTAATTCATCCCCAATAGTAATTCATCCCCCATAGTAATTCATTCCCCATATTGTGTCAATTCACTTACCTTTGCTCCACGCGTTCCTCTCGCCGTGTTCCCGTGCCGTTCCAGTCTTCAGGGCGGACTGTGAGAGGAGAGGAGTTTGTCACGCTGCCCCGCCTAAATCCTGGCTGCCCCGCCTACATCCTGACAGCCAATGTTTGCCACGCTCCGCGGGCCGGATTAAAAGGTCCGCCGGGCCGTAGTTTGCCCATTGCTGGGCTAGCTGCAGAGTCCTGACTTTTGGGGCGGCCGCCCGAGAGGAGGGAGGGGAGCGGGCGCCCGGCACACAGAAGAGCCGCATTAAAGTGTGTAAAGAGCCACATGTGGCTCGCGAGCCACAGCTTGCCAACCACTGGCCTAATTGATTGGGCAAAGGCACAGATGCATCAAGGGGTTAAAATGATTCCTGATAAAGGAATTACAAACACCCCAAAAAAGGGTTTCATGAACTTGCCTTTGACAGTTACCAACAGTTCCTGCATTCAAATTACCCCCCAGATAGTAAATAGTGTTGCTGAGACATTCATTACACTGCTGGTTTTTAAGCTTACCTTCAAAACACATACAGTTGTGTTCAAAATAATAGCAGTGTGTTGAAAAAAGTGAATAAAGCTCAAAATCCTTCTAATAGCTTTTATTTTCATACACACAAATGCATTGGGAACACTACACATTCTATTCCAAATCAAAACATGAAGAAAAAATATCAAATTTGTGTTGTTCCTCTAAAAAAAATTTAAGAAAAGTGAATATTAGACTGTTCAAAAAAAATAGCAGTGTTTGTATTCTTCTTTACAAACTCAAACATTCACTATATAAACTGAAAAATGTTTGAAGATTTTGCTTTCCTTTAAATCACTTAATGAATATTTAGTTGTATAAGCACTGTTTTCTAAGAACTGCTGTACATCTGTGTTGCACGGAGTCAACCAACTTCTGGCCCCTGTGAACAGGTATTCCAGCCCAGGATGATTGGACTACATTCCACAGTTCTTCTCTATTTCTTGGTTTTGCTTCAGAAACTGCATTTTTGATGTCACCCCACAAGTTTTCTATTGGATTAAGATTCAGGGATTGGGCTGGCCACTCCATAACGTCAATCTTGTTGGTCTGGAACCAAGATGATGCACGTTTACTGGTGTGTTTGGGGTTGTTGTCTTGTTGGAACACCCATTTCAAGGGCATTTCCTCTTCAGCATAAGGCAGCATGACCTCTTCAAGTATTCTGATGTATTCAAACTGATCCATGATCCCTGATATGTGATAAATAGGCCCAACACCGTAGTATGAGAAACATCCCCATATCATGATACTTGCGCAACCATGCTTCACTGTCTTCACAGTGTACTGTGGCTTGAATTCAGTGTTTGGGGGTCGTCTGACAAACTGTCTCCAGCCACTAGACCCAAAAAGAACAATCTTACTTTCATCAGTCCACAAAATGTTGGCCATTTCCCTTTAGGCCAGTCATTGTGCGCTCTTTGGCAAATTGTAACCTCTTCAGCACGTCTTTTTTTCAACAGTGGGACTTTGCGGGGGCTTCTTGCAGATAGCTTGGCTTCACATAGGCGTCTTCTAATTGTAACAGTACTCACAGGGAACTTTACACCTTCTTTGATCTTCCTGGAGCTGATTGTTGGCTGAGTCCTTGCCATTTTGGCTATTCTTTTATCCATTTGAATGGTAGTTTTTCGCTTTCTTCCACGTCTTTCAGGTTTTGGTTGCCATTTTAAAGCATTTGCGATCATTTTAGCTGAGCAGCCTATCATTTTCTGCACTTCTTTATATGTTTTCCCCTCTCCAATCAACGTTTTAATCAAGGTACGCTGTTCTTCTGAACAATGTCTGGAACTCCCCATTTTCCTCAGAATTTCAGAGAGAAATGCACTGTAACCAGCATGTACAACATTTGCTGCCTTCCTTCCTTAAATAAGGGCAATAATTGCCACCTGTTTTTCAAAGAATGAATGACCTCACTAATAGAACTCCACACTGCTATTATTTTGAACATGCCCCTTTCAGTTAGTGTTTCAATTACACAGAATCAGCAGCATCCATATGATGACTGTTGGGTCTGTTGGATTTCTATCACTCTACTACACCTGCTAGTAAATTATTTGCCATGTAGAAATATCATTTCTACCAAAAACAGCGATTGATCAGGTTAGTGATGTCTGAATGCTATTATTTTGAACACAACTGTACTTAATGGAATGTAATGGCAGATTTGTGAAACCTTGCCCTATAATTTACAATATCTGACCACCAATACACTGGAACTGTACTATGGCTCTTAACCTGAAAAGTGCTCCAGCTATCACAGTACACTCAGGTCTGGAAAGCAGCACAATGCAGAGCCCAGTGCCTGAAGCTCATATTCCAAGGTAATCCTAACATGGCCAGTCAGGCCTGGATACAGCCTCCAAAGCCAGGCCAAGGAAATGCCAATCTGGACTGTAGCTATATGGAAACTGGCTTAGGCATCGGTGTAGTGAGGAATCTTAATTGAAATTACCAAGAAGAAAATTTCAGGAAGCAGGGAAGACTAGGGTAAAAAATATAATTTTTTTTTAGCAAACCCAAAGAAAAAGGCATCCAAGCTCCTAGAACACAAAAAAAAAACCTGGAGGCAAGCTGGGTAGAGGAGGGGTAATATGAGCGCTGGTCAACAACTTCTCTGTTTACCAGTATCCCTAACCTCCTGTAAGTGTCAGTATAACCCTTTTTTTCTGAATTTCTGTGTCCTTAAATGGACAAGAAATAAATATGAAGCAAATATACCAGTTCCTATTACAAAAGTTGTTTATAGTCAAGCACAGCCTTTCTCAACCTGTCCAATACAGAGGAACCCTTGATATAACTTTCTGGTTTCAGGGAACCCCTGCTAAAATTACTATATCTACAACTTATGATACATTAGTGTGATGGTCAGTGGGAAGAATACTCCTTACACTTGTTGATTTTGGGAAGGATTACTCCCTTACAGAAAGCTTAAAAAATCAGTGGTGTCAGTTGGAAATTATCTGAGAGGCAGACATTTCTAATTGCTCAAGGAACTCCTAGAAACCTTTTGAGGAACCCTAGGACTCCATGCAACCCTGACAAATACTGGTATAACATGAGTTTTTTAGACTCCTAGACACATTTCAGGGGGCCAATGTTTGGATAGATGCATGTATGAATATGGATTGTTATGGGAAACCTACAAAACGATGAAGAGAGAGAGAATGCACGGCACTCAGATAATGCCCCATTGGAACTGAACTCTAATAGAACTCAAACCCTAAAAAGCAGGGTTTCTCAACCAGGGTTCCATGGAACCAAAAGGTTCCTCCAGAGGTTGCTAGGCGTTCCTTCAGCAATGAACAATTTCCGCCTCTCAGATAAGTTCCCACTGACCTCATCAACCTTTTTAGCTTTCTCTAAGGGGGGCATTCTTATCACTATCACACTAATGTATCATGAGTTGTAGCTATAGTCATTTGCAGCAGGGGTTCTGAGACCAGAAATTTACCGTATTTCAAGAGTTTCTTTGTGTTGCAAAGGTCGTGAAAGACTGCCATAAAGCTACAGGAAAAGGTTGTTACTCATTGAACAGCCATGTTCTCCAAGTGACAGCTTGATTTCCAACACTGTTTGTCAATCACTAATTCCATTAATATGCAAACAAAATACCATATATTTTTTCTATGAATAACTAATTTGGAACTCATTCTGTCTTTTGAAACAAAGGCCAAAAATTTGAAATATGCCAGAAAACCAGTTCAACACATTTGAATTCTCAAAAATATGAACTTTTTTTTTTTCACAGGAAGGAGATACACCAATGCACGATGGAGTCAGACTAAATCGTTACAAAATGATGAGACTCTTGATTATGTATGGGGCCAATTTCTCAATCAAAAATTGTGTAAGTTCCTGACAAACATTCTTTTTTGCAAGACATTACAGCTGACATTAGGCTAAATACAAACTTTTTAAGGAAACGGAGGTTGTTACTCTCTGAAAAGACTGTAAAAACATCTGACTTTTTAAAGAACTCAAAAAAAGATACAAAATCTGAAATTTTTTTAATTTCATGTCTAATTAAAATGGATGAATACTGGTTAAATTGGTTAGGAACCTTGCTTACAATGGGAAAACACAAAAATCGAGCATCCTACATCCTTTAAAACTAAGTGGCCATACCCACTAATCCATGCTAATGGGAAACACAGCATATGCAGCCAAATATAGAAAACTGTTTCCTGCCGCAAGGAAGCTGGACTTTTATAATTTCTGAAAAATACTGTAGCCACATACAGAAGCTAAAATAGAGACACTAATGCAGGTTATTTTCACAGATAGAGTTGTCTGTTTTTAAGATTACAATTTGATGTAGCCATTACAGATGAAAATAGTATTTAATGGAGTTCTTTAAACACTATATGGCCAGACTTCAAGTGCTTTTAGGGGAAATTTGGCAAGTAATTTAGACATATGTGTCTGACTAAACCATTTTTAAACTGTCCTGATAGGTGGGAAAGACACCTATGGAACTGGTCCTTCAATGGCAAAACGGCGCCAAAGAGATATTCAGCGGGCTTCAGGAAAACTCCTACAAGAACTCTCACATACAGAAATTCTGACAGAAAAAAAAAAACAGTTTGAACAGGCATTAGCTACGGCACTTTTTTTTTTTTTTTTTTGCTTCAAGAAGCTTTGATAGGACTATTCCAGTTTTTTTAAAAATTTCTTGCACTTTGAATTTTTTAATTGTATTTATTTATTTATTGTTTGTTACTGCATAGGCATTGCGCTTTATATTAATTCCATAGGAAAGAAGTATTTTGTTTAATTAATGTGGCAGATAAACTGCCCAAATGTTATTACTGTTGATAAGTCGTATGAAGAACACTAATATTTGTATTTTAATCTTGTTGAATGTAAGTAGAAGAACAACACATACTGGGCATTTTCAGTTGTGTTGTGACCAACATGACAAGAAATACAATGGACAAAGCCAGAGAGAGGACTCTTGGCTGTATGTTTGGAAGTGTCAGGCTTTTGCGGTAAAGTGGGCTATCCCACTTGCTGATAAATAGTGGAAACATGCCCTTTACCTAGCAAAGCCACTAAACTAGAGAATGGAGAGAACTAGGATGTTAGGGAAGAACGGGGGGTTTTAGCTGCAGTGCCAGAGCTGAAAAATTACTATTTTCCAGCTTGAACATGCCCATAAGGTTAGGTTGGAGCTTCAGCCTGAACACTAGGCATGTCTATTAAAGAAGTGGGCTTCATTTATAAAAGAACTTCTGAAGGAAATGTAGGTAAACCCCACAAAAAACAGATTCTGCTTTATCTTTACTGCAATTTAGCAAAATGAAAGCAAATTCTTTACTGGTTGCGGTATCAAAAAGGTATGAAGCTTTATTTTTAATATAATGGCACAAAACAGGGGTTCTAAGTTAATTATTCAGGGTCCTAAAAAGAAAAATGCCACACTGACTTTGGGGTTTCACTACTGCAAATAATAGCTCTATATTTCCTTTGACCTTGCTTTTATAAATAAGCCTCACTGAATTTAGTAAGGCTCTGCAAAAAGACGTTAATTCTGAACTAAACTGAAAAAGCAAAAGAATTAGCATGCTCTTTAAAAAGCCCCCCCTACAAGTAACTTGCAATAAGGGTTGACATCTCCCTAGAGCCAGAACGTGTTCTCTAAATTTAGGAAACCATTCAAATAAATAAAAAAAAAAGTGTGTGTTTCCTGAAAGATAGACGCACTCCAGGAGAACCTGGCAGCACAGCCCCAGAAAAGTTTGTTGCCTTGTCAGGTTGATTTCACCTTTAGCTTAGTTTCCTTATTTCAGAAATGAAAGTTGAAGAAATAAAAAGAGGACTAGCATGCTGACAAGTGACAGTACAGGGGCTGCAGCTGTTTGTGGATTCCCTGTAGCTCTAGTTCACAAATGTAGAATGGACAGCAAGCTACTTTAATATTAAGATTGCTTGGATCAGATGTCCTGTATGTAGGATCTTCCCATATTGTGAGGTTTCGAAGATCCTCCAGAGACTTCAGGTTTTTGAGCTTTGACTGAGAATGATGAGAGAATGGGTGAAACACTAGATGGAATGAGACCGAAATGCAATAGAAAAGGAAAAGTTGTACTATAGATTGTTCTTTTATACATTTGTATTGTATTTTCTGTACATTTTGTATTGAGTACATTTATTATGAAGAAAAGAAAGCTGCACATCTTTATATAATGTACCAATATATTGACATGATATGGAACAAGGGTACGAATGCTGACCATCCTTTGTAATATTGCATAACTTAATTTATTCTTCTTGATGTAAACTGTATCTCATGAATTAACTCTGCTCTTATCACAGTCTCACTGTAATGATATAATGTGTGGGCACACTGTCCCGTTTGCATTGCACTGTGCAAGCTGCGATGCTGAGACGAGAGTCTACATGACTGAGATCATGTACTAGTGAAGCAAAGACATGTAGAAGCTGTTATGTAACATGAGAAAAATGTAATTCCTGGATGAGCACTGATCCTAGATCACCACCTAGTGGAAGTTATCTTGCATCAAATTCTGCTCTCCTGCATGTTAAAACATGAATTCCTACTAAACAAAGAAGCAAAATGAATTTTGTGTCACTGTGGCTTCAAGTGCACTTGTCACATATCCCCAGTGATCATTGTCCTTTTGTAGGCCAAACCAACATAGATGGGCCAGCAGCTTATTGAGGACTTAGGATTTCACTGAGGAGTTCTGTGCACTTCAACAGGACACTGAGAACTATATACAGAATTAAGATCTGCATTATAATCTATTTCCAGAGCTCCTGAATAATGTATCTTTATTCTGAGTTTTGGAAGCGGAGAAAGAAACACAAAAAATACACCGAGACAAGAACAGGACTTTTAAAAGTATTTAATATTACGATCACAACAGAAATAATACAAATATCAAATATTCAATTACTGTTTTATGGTTTCATAAGAAAAAAAAAAAGATCTATTCTGTACAAATGGTTAACAATAAACTTGTTAAACTATTCGGCTATTTGGAACTGCTGTCTTCTTTTAAAAACTTGTACCAAGTCAATTACACTTCGTATCTGCCAGAAAATATATGTTCCAAAGCTACCCTCAACTGGGAAAATAAAAAAAAAAAAAAAAAAGAAACAATCAAAATAGACTTTGGAAGTTAACACATTGGAAACTATACAAACACACACACAATCGTTACTCCTTTTTAGCTTTTTTGGAAGCTGGCTCTTCTGGTGAGCTTTCATCTTCTACAACTTGAGGTTTCTTCACTGTGTATGTAATGCCAAAAGCAGTCTTTCTGGTCTCTGCAGTTGAAAACGCATAATTAAAAAAGCTGTGTACCTACCAAGCTGGAAACATCTTTACAGAAATTTTGCACAATAAATTACTGGAAAATAGCACAAAATCCCCATAACTGAACAAATAAAAGCCTCCTCCTCATTTATTTGTGACATTGTCCCTACAGACTAAAGCTCAATATATAATTTTCTGATTAATAGATAGATTAGGTTTCACGGGGCTAGTGCAACTGCACAGTGACCATATATCTGATGACCGCTTTTACTATTTGTGACATAATCTAAAAGGCCCATGTGGGCACTACAGGGTTGATTTATTAAAGGCAAACAGAATGTGCAGTTTGCAAGTGCAGTTGCTCCAAAACTTAGTAAATGAGCAGAAGCTCTGTTGATTTCCATTATCCAATCATGCAAGCAAAAATGCTATTTTTTATTTTCCTTGCATGTGATTGGGTATTCTTTGCAAAGTGAAGCTTTACCTCATTTATTATGCTCTGGAGCAACTGCACTTGCAGAGTGTACAGTCCAATTGCCTTTAGTAAATCAACCCCTGTATGTTTAAACTAGAAATATTTTGCCAAATCTTTCAACATCCAGCTTCCTGAATTCAAGCAGAATCAGGACAGATGGTCTGATCTTTACATGTATGATCAAGAAGTAGGGTACATTCCAGGTAAATAAGAAAACTGCCTAAGGATTCACAACCTACCTTCCAAGTACAGTAAGTCCCCAACTTATGAATGAGTTCTGTTCCGGGATCTCGTTTTTAAGTCAAGCAAAGATCTTGCAGGCTAAGAGCATTGATCAGTGTGCTCTGTTGGGGGGAGTCCCCCTGCCATTACACAAAGGCACAGCGGAGGAGATCGATGCACCAACATTGCTTGTTGATACTGCGATTTGTCCCTTTCTTTTTCACTCAGACTTTTGGGCCAATTGAAAAAAAAAAAAAAAAAAAAAAAGAGTGTATACCAGTTTATCCAGGACTGGAAACGCGAACACATTTTTACATCTTTGAGAGTTCACAAGTTAAATGTTCATATGTAGGGGGATTTATGTATCTAATCTTCACCCCAACAGTGGCTAAATACTTTGGACCCTGAGGAAGTCACGTGATCAGCGTGACGCAACGCGTCGGTGCGCGAGGAGGATTCTGGGAAGTGCGTTGACGTCATTTCCGGCGTGGCGGCCATATTTGAAACCTCTATATCTATTACCCATGCAAGGCAGGCATAGCATGAGGTGAAGGAGCCATATATGTGCATGTTATAAGAAAGATGAAGAAGAATGTGAGTAGATATCTTTCTGTATAATTTATTTATTAAATGGTTTTACACTATGGGGAGTCTTCTGTTTATGTATGAACCGGAGAGGAATATATAGTGTATACAGCGGTTGGAAAGATCCTGAGATACAACAGAGTGGTGTTTGTTCCTGAGGCAAGGTGTCCCTGTGAGTTCTATATAAGGAGGAACCGGAGTGGGAGCAGCTGGGTATAGAGCATACATCGCTGGGGAGGATCCTGTGATAAACCAGAGTGGTGTTTGTGTCCCAAAGCGAGTTGGCCCTGTGGGGTCAATGTAAGGAGGTGCTGGGCCCATTGCAGCTATTATTGGATATACACAGTGTGGACACTGGATGGCACTTGCATGAAGATTGTGTATGAAATACACTATATATATATATATATATATATATATATTATATATATATATATGGACATGTTTACACAGAGTGTTGGTTTTTAGATCATTTGTGTTATATAGGTTATTAGGTCACTTGGTCACTTTGAATATTCCCGTATAGGGAACACATTGATTGCACTTTATTAAGCAATATTTGTCACTTTGTCACTTTTATGTTTCGGTGCAATACACGTGCTACACTTTATCTGCAATTTTGCACATGTATATGATATATATTGATTTGGATATTAATTTATTAATTTTATATATTTGTCACGTGGTCACTTTTGTTGCTTCCTGGTGGAATACACAAATTACACTTTATTTGCACTGTTGCACAGACATTTATTGATTTGATTATTTTATTTATTTATATATATGTTTATTTAGTATGTAGCGCTGCACTATTTATTTATTTATTGATTTAACTCACACTGGTAGGAGGGCAAGTGTCAGCAGCTATAGGGAGAGGGCCCCATTCTGAGCGCAGGAAGTTGTTGTTTTTAAATTAAATACTTTCAGCGGTCAATATTCTCACCTTCTGTTCACTGGTTCAGGAACCACCCTCTCTCTGAGCCCACACACATTGGAGCATG